AAATTTTTAAAATATTTTATTTAATAATCTATATTATATTTATAATAATAAAAATTATGACATATAATAAATTAAATCAATTACTGATTACTTTGATATTGTTAAATTTTTTAAAAATAATTTAATTTAAAAAATTTGATTTAAGTGTTGCATTCTTTTTGATTGTTATTGTAATTCAATATATTTTAAAAAAAATTTTTAATTTGATATTTGTTATTTATTATAAGTTTTTCTTTTATAACTTTATCATATTATAACTTATTTTGAATAAATACAAAAACATATCCATTAAAATTAGTTTTACATGATTTTTTTTAATAAAATAATTCTTCAAATATTTAAAAATATTCAGTTAATAAGATATTGTTATGAAATATTATAATCATATAAAAGTATAATAAAATATTTTTATAAAATTCATGCTTAAGATACTTTTAGTATGCAAGAATCAATTGACTTGTCTTATTTACTAAAAACTTTAATGTTAAAAATATCAAGAAATTCTTGAAATATATTTTTTTCTTATATTTTTATAACAGATTGTAAGTTATATTTTTAATAGAATAATTTTTCAATTTATAATGCAGATGAAATAATTATTTTTTTTTATCATCATAATATTTAAATTCTTGATTAATCTTCTTATTGATATTAATTTTATTAAGAGTTTGTGAATTATACTTAAGAAAAAGATGAAAAAGATGATAAATTTATGATTAATTAAAAAAAACTTTTAATAATAGAATTTCAAATAATAGTACAAATAAAATAGATAAGTTTAATAAAAATCTCTTCTTTAATTAGCAAAAAGTATGAAGGATTATATTTTAGTAATGATTAAATAAAAATTGATTATTAAATTTTTATAAATAATTAATAGTTATATTTGAGAATATGCATATAAAATTTTCATATATATTAATAATAAAAATAAAATATCTTATTTATCATAATAAATTTCAGATATTTATATTGATTATTATAAATAAAACAAAATAAAATGAATGAAAATCTTTCTTCTCAACTTCTTTAGCCACTTTTCATCATCTTCTCCTTCTTCCCACTCTTTCAATTTTTTCTTTATCCTCCTTCTGCTTTTTGTAATTGTTTGATTCTTTTGAGAGTTGTCATTTTATTTAGAATTTAATTTGTTTCTGATCTAATTCAAGCTTAATTTGCAAAGTTCTTACGTATATTGAAGAAATATCTGGAATTAAAAGATGGCAGTCATAAATGGATCACAGTTACATATATAAAAAATAAAAACTGGCTTATATTAATTCCAGGTGCTCTTCATGAAGAAATGAATTAAATTGGAGTGATTTTACTCCCCTAAATTAGGAAATTTGAAATTTGGTTCAGTAAAAACTGGGCATTTTTGTTGTACGATCCTGTGACAGATCTAAAAAATCTCCAAGTTTTCATAGTATACATTTCAAAGAATGCGCGTTAAGCTTATTTTTGATTTCCCTTCGCTTACTCGTCGTTGCTGGTATGAAATATGTCAGCCGGAATTTGCGCAACAGGATGAATTGATAAAAGATCTTGTCGTGCGTATACTTCACGATTTCGAACTAGAGTCAGTTTGCCCAAATGGAGTAATTCTTAGTTTAGAAGGGTTTGAATTGCTACCGAATGGAACCACTCTCGGTTTGATTCGAGAAAATGATACTATTTGGTAAGTTGAGTTTATTAGATTTTAGTTGAATACCTCTTTTCACCCGAAACTATGATAATGAAAATCTGATTCTTCAAGTGTTAAACCTGGGAACCTTGAGTTAAATAAAGGTATTTAAAACGATCTCTTAATTTAAATTTAAATTGCACAATAGCACATATTAATATACGTATATAACAATATATTATTTGCTCTTCAAAGATAAACATCTAAAGTACAATCGAATTTCAACCCCAAAACCTCGAAGAAAGCAAGTCAACTTAAATTCAAAGAAAAAGACGAGTTCCTCCTCTTCTGAATCCTCTGAATCAGAGAATGGTGAAAAGAAAAGGAAAGATACGTATCAAATTGGCAAGAAAAGGAAACGAGACGCGTCTTCATTACCTTCATCAACTGAATCATCATCGTCGGCCTCTTCTGATACTGATAATGATCTGACATCCTCTCCTTTAGCTAAAAGTGGCAATAAAAACCTTAAACTGAATGGTAAATTAAATAAAAAAAACAAAACAGTTATAGAAAAACAAAAAAGCAATGAAATATTATCATCCAATTGGAATCATGAAAAGAATTCAAATTCATCGTCATCTTTATCAGAGAGCAGTTCTGGGGAAGAGAATGGGGATAAACAAATTACAAAGGAGAAGTCTGGAAAGGAATTTGAGACAAATAATATCATTGATGACAATAATGACAAAGGAGACTATGTTGATGCCGCATTTAATAAAGACTTTGGCAATGGCAATGATCTCTTATTACCTCCGCCAACAAAAAAAACAAATGGAATAAATTTGACTAAAGAAGTGCCATCAAAAATAACATTAAATCCAATTATTGAGGTCAATCAAAAAAATAAATTGTCATATCGACCACCGTTGTCACTTTCATCAACATCTAATAAAAAGAAAGGTTACCTTCAAGAAATGCTTTCAATGTCACCCAAACATCTGAGATTTACCGATGATAGCGATGAAGTTATTAATCATATTGAAAACATTAATACTACAGAAAATCAAATTAACGAAATCGTTGCCACCACCTCAGCCACTAATGCAATGAATATTCGTGATGAAAAACAATTGAATTTAACATGTCAAAATATTGATGATCTTCCTTCTAAACGAGTAATTGAGACCCGCATAGATTTTTGGCGTCCAAACAGAAAGAGAGGCAAAAGAAATAAAAAAAAAAGGCGGCACAATTTTGGTAAAGATGATGACACTATTGATGATCACGACAATAATCATAATGTTGATAATAATGATGAAAGTCATATGCATAATGACAATGTCGATAACAACAACTACGACAAGAAAAACGGTAATGATGAAGTTAACTATAATAGTAAGAATAATAATGCTTTGGATTATTCAAAATTGGAATCTTACACTGGCTATCCATCTATTGGGGATATGATTGCCTATAAGGTATTGAAATGATTAAAAAGTAAACTTGATAAGCCGAAAGATCGCGGGGAGTTCCAGATATTCGGTTTATCAAGTACTCCATTTTGCTAAACTTCATGCTAAGCCATATAAAATTGGGAGTAAAAACTTCGGTTTAGGCGTTCTCGGCTTAGGATGATTCCGTCTTAATGAGTTTTCCTAATATCCTGTATTTTCTTTCATACAATTGATAATATATTTAATAGGTTCTTGAATTGTCGTCATCTTTCACACCAGAATGGAGCATTTACAAAGTATATTTTTTTTCATTCTTTAACTTATTTAGTTTATTTTATTACGTTTTAATACTCCTTATATTCTAATTATAGGAAGCCACAATTGTGGATTACGATAGAGTCAATAATATTGTCACTTTGAAACATCACCATCAACAAAAAGATGCACTCATGAAAGAACCGGTAATTCGTCCAGGTAAATTTGATTTACAGAATTTAGACGATGAATTTATTATTGAAGGACAACAATCGTTGATAGATAGTAATATTCAATCGATTTCTTGGGATACCCTTGCGGAAGTTAAGAAATTATAATTGATTAAATTGATTAGATAAATTGATAGATTAACAGATAAGATAGATAAGATAGGCGAATAAAAGCCAAAGAGAAAGCTCTCTTCACATATACCATATAGTTCATCGCTTGTCATATATACATCTTAGTCTTGATTTATGTAAAACATTAATAATGAATAACAAAAACAATAACAACAACAACAATAATAAAGTTACTAGTGACATTAATATTGATAATGAAATAGAGCCTGGGCGTAAATATGAATTGAGCAGCTTCTTGTCGACACTAACAACTTTCACTGGGGACATTAGTAATTTAACCTGTCCTTCTTTTCTACTGTCAGGAGTTTCAACTTTGGAATATGGGTATAGTTCGATATCTATATACACTAAATATAATAATGAGAGAATTAATAAAATAACATTTATGTTTTAATAGACAATATTGGGCAGATTATCCTGATTTATTTGCCGATATTGCTAAACATACTGAAGAAATTAACAGAGCAATTGCTGTACTTCGATGGTATGTAAGCACATTATATGGTTCTTTCAGGTTTGTTTGAATATTATTTACTTATAATAAAAAGTAGAGATAATCAGATCAAGATATTTATTAATATGATTAACGACAATTATGGTTTTTATCTTATTATAAATTTATTAGATCGAGACAAGATAAAGAAAAATTCGAAAAAAAACCGTTTAATCCAATTCTAGGAGAACAATTTCTAGCCCGTTGGGAAGATAGAAATGATTGTGGAGAGACAGTTCTTTTCTCTGAGCAAGTTAGCCATCATCCACCTGTTTCGGCAATTTATCTTGAAAATAATAAGGCTGGTGTATCAGCGAATGGTCATAGTAAGTTATTACGAAATTTATTATTAGTATATAATTAACATTTCTAACTAAACATAATTTAAACATAATTTTAATAAATAAAAATTAAAAGCTGGTCAAAAAAGTCAATTCAGAGCAACTGCAGCACGTATAGATGTAATCCAAGTTGGGCACATTGTAGTTCGTATGCGTGACCATAATGATAAATATCTAATTACTTTACCATCATTGCAAATTCTTGGATTATGGAGGGGTGCTCCTTATGTAGAATTGAGGTCTGATTTAATAATTACTATGCTAGAGATTGGAACCGGATTTATTTTAATATCAAAACCGGTTAAATCCGGTTTACAATAAGAAAAATTAAATCCGGTTCTATCTTTATACTATGCTATTAAAAAAAAAGGGGGAATTTTTGATCTTAACACAAATAAATTTGTTCATTTTAATAAACCAGTGGAACAAGTTATATTCAGTCTCAAAATTATAATATAACCATTGAATTTACTGGAAAAGGTTTTTTATTTTTGTCTTTTATTTTTTATTATTTTCATTTGATGACTTTACTAATAAATACATTATGTGTGTATTTTTAAAGGCTGGGTTTCTGGATCTAAAAACTCATTCAAGGCACAAATATTTCGTAATGGTTTACTTAAGACTCCTTTATTCACAGTTTCAGGCTCATGGGCAGGCAAATCAACAATCGAAGATCACAATACAAAGGAAAAGAAAACATTTTTTGACATTGAATCTCAGAAACGAGCAAGTCCCATTGTATCTCTGGAAGAAGAACAAAGCGACATGGAAAGCAGAAAATTATGGAAATATGTTGCAAAGGCTATTAACGAAGGCGATTTTTCAACTGCATCAAAATTAAAAGTAATAACCTCTGTGAATCTGTTATCACAGTCATTGTCTTTCTGTTTTTCTATTTTTTTCTGAATTTATATACCATCTACTTATAAAATTAACCAGGGAGAAATTGAACAACGACAGCGTGATAAAGTAAAGCGGGGTGAAGAAACTATACTTCAATACTTTGATTGGGTTGATCCAGACGAGAAATATTTATCTCTTGATAAACTAATAAATTATAGCAGCAAGGAGGAAAAATATAAAGAAACTGGAAGTTGGGTGTATAAAAAATTAGCATTCGAAAATTAATTATATTTATTGTAAATTGTATTACATAAATAATGTAAATCCTCTATCAAATTGTCTTCACGTCATTTGATATAAATTTGACCAATTATATCATTTATTATTATTTGTATTATTCAGATAAATTCAAAACAATAAAAAGGAATAAACACAATTCCTTTCGACCGAATTGTGTTGTTTGATACTTCAGAAAAATAGAAAAGTTCTTTCCTCTCTGTTTAAATAATAAATAACTGACACTTCTAAAAACATTTAGTTGCAAAAGCAAGAAGAATAATGACTGAGCATACAGAAGAGAAAAAAGCTACGCGTAAAAGAAAACCCGCTGCAGCCACCGAAGAAGTTGAACGTAAAACGACTCCTAAACGTGCTGCGAAAACTAAGACTGAAGAAGCGAAAGCGGCAGCTGCCTCTTCTGCTGCTGCTTCTGCCCCCAAATCGAAAAAGAAGAAATCAGAGGTATTTATTATCATAATAAATAAATAAATAAATAATAATAAATGATAATTATAGTAATGATATTGTTATTATGATTAGCAATTGTATAATGATGTTCATGATATATAATAAATACACTCATATAAACGATACTCTTCTTCATTTAGAAGGCGGAAACCGAGGAAACTTCCACCTTTCCTAAGCTTAAAGATTTCCTCGCAAATGCTAAAGATCTTCAAGTACTTATAAAAAATCTTGAGAATATAGAAGAAGAAAAGGAAACTAAAGATAATGAAACATCCGAGAAAAACGTCGAAGCTAAAAATGGTTCTGAATCAACCCCTGATGAACCTTTATTCACATTAACTGCAAAGCCGCATAAGCACTCCACCGGCTCTTATGGCTGGACCGCAACTCAATCCAAGTCTAAAATCAAGGTTAAAATCGGTGGCGAAGAAGTGGAATTGCCTATTACTATAACTCTTAATATTACTGTTCAAAATTCTAAGAATAAATAATTGTTCTTAGGTCTCATCTAGGAAATTAATAAACTGGCATTTTGTTCGGAGTGAATTAGTTTTACATTATAGGTATAGATTAATTTTTGTCTGTTTTAGAGAAGTAACAATTTTTTTACTTTATATCAGATCTATGTTCTTAACCTATTTTGAATGATGTATATATATATATATTTCACCGATTTCTATTCATTTTTTTTGAAATTGAAATTTAATAAATAATAATTAAGCAATTTAACTGTTGCGTCTACTTAATACAAAATTGAAATAAAATTAATTCAATAATTAAGTTAGAACTTGGATGCTTTACGAGCTTGACCAACTATTTCTGCTAATTCATTTAATTTTTCACAATTTGGCATTTTCATCTCTTTAGCTTCCTCAAGTTTCCGTTCATCGAGGTTAAAATACCATCCTAAAGCTTCATTCAGTTTTCGTTTTTGTAATATTTTCTCGGAATTACAAAGTTGCTGCAATTGTTTAACATATGATGTTTCGACAGTTTCCTCATATCGGCGCAATATTCGTGGATTCTGTTCAAGCATGTTAAAGTCATTAGGATTCACAAAATAAGGAATTTGAAGTGAATGAGTGAACCTCTGTTCCGTATAAGGAGGATGTCTTTGAAGGGAAAATGTAGGATATTGATCTTGTGGTGAATTAAAAAAACTTGAAGAAAAGGAAAATATAAAGAGGAGAATAAGAGGAAGCAATTGAAATAACTGAAGCCATCCTGAGCTGGTTGGTCCATCTCCTCTATTTGGAGGTGAAGTTGTTCTACGTGTTGTAGTAAA